GACGCAACCCGGTTCGAGAGGAGCGGTCCAGCGGTTCGAGTATTTATGGTATAACACTATCCTAAAAAAACAATATTCGACAAAAACTTTGAATCCTATCCCAATTCTCAAATCTTACCCAAAAATTAACATGCCGTGTTATCCTATCCCAATTCTCAAATCTTTCCCAAAAAATTAACACGCCTTAAACACGCCACATATTATGGTCGTATAATGTAACAAACCCATTTAGGCTGCATCTGAATAATGTTGTTTGAATTATTTTTTTGAAAAAAATACTTTTAATGGAAACTAATTAAATACACTAAATATGACCAAAAAGTTGATTTGTCAATTTTTAAAAATGTTAAATTTTATTATATATAGATTATGATACGAAATAACATATAAGAAAAAACTCCCCTTCGAGCCCCAATCCTCGTGTTAAACCAACAGCCATTAGTATACTACACAAACAAAACACATACTACACAAAAAGTTGATTTGCCATTAATATATAGACTACATATAATATAACTTAAACCATTCATTGCATCACAAACAAAACACATACTACACAATATAACATCTTCAAACATTAAGCCATAAAACGCAAAGCCAAGCCGATCATGGGCGTACCACAAAAACAAGACATAATTAAAACCTATTACATAATAATATACGATTAATATTACATGCTAAGACGTGACATGGCTCTAACAACTTGACCTGACATGTCTTTCAATCCCACCTGCCAATTATTATTATTACTATTATTACGGATATTATTATTGGGAAATGCTACGGCCCTCGTTACATGACCATTTCGTTACATGACCATTTCGTTGAGTTTGTAACCGTGGAAGATAGTTGATCTATCGATTACAAATTTCTGACAGAATGGTTCCATAACGAAACCGTAGCATCTCCCATTATTATTATTATTAGTATTTAGTATTATTTATTTATTATTATTACAAAACCTGTTGTGAAGTTTGGTCTCCTCCAAGGCGTCGACCGTTAAAGGTGAAGACGACGGAATTGCGATCCAACGACTGACGATCACAGTAAGCTTGCATCAGCTTCTTCAGTTTTGTGGTGTTCTTAATTCTGAAATACACGTCACCATCATCCTTCACAACAACAAATTAAAATTAAAATAATTTAAAAAAAA